AAAAAAAAAAAAAAAAAAAAAAAAAAAAAACAAAAAAAAACCAAAAAACAAAAACAAAAAAACAAAACAAAAAAACCCCACAAAAAGCATAGAGAAGCTGAATGTAGGATCCCCACAGTTACAGCAGGGATCCAGTGTCTTCTTCCTCTGTCTGCCCAGGAACTCCAGCCTTGTTATTTCCCTGCCTTGGCAATTTTAGGATTATGGAATGGTAGTAAAAGGAGTAGGTGGTACAGTGCTTTGGGCCATGTGTGTACATGCATGCGTGCTACAAGGTGCCATCCCAGCTGGGCAGTTCTCTGAAGCTCTGCGTTGTCAGCATGTTGTGGTGGGAAAGGGCTGGCACAAAAGTGGTTTAAACAAAGAGGGCATTGATTGAGTTCTAAGTGGACAGCGGCATGATATTCTTTCTTGTTCTTTTTACTTCTGTGTGGTGCTGGGAATTGAATCCAGGGTCCAGAACATGGTGAGCATATGAGTTACATCTGCAGCCCTCTCGAGTGCCTTTTATTCCAAGGAAACCTTAATAGGTCTTCCGACCTAAAATCAGACCTGTTTCCCAACCCTTGCTTCCTCTTGATGGCCTGTATTTCATTGGTTTTATTCTTTTTTCTTTAACTTATATGTTATATCTGTAGTTAAATGTTATATGTTATATCTGTATGTTAAATCTGTTATATTCTTTTATTTCTTCTTTTTGGCCCCCTGTTGGAGTGGAAGTGTCTTTGTAATGGGAATGTTTGATAACTTTTTTAAAATTAATTTGTGAAATGAAAATATAATATTATTTCCCTCTTTCTTTTTCTCCCTTCCAGCCCCTCCCATGTCCTCTCTGTGCTTCCTCTCAAATTCATGGCCTCATTTTCTTTGAGACATATATATATATATATATATATATATATATATATATGTGTGTGTGTGTGTGTGTGTGTGTGTGTGTGTGTACATGTGTATCATATAACTATATGAATATAACCCGTTCAGTCCATTTAATGTCATCTATGTATATGATTTCAGAGCTGAACATTTGGTACTGAATAGCCAATTAGGGGTTCATCCCTGGGGAAGACTTTCTTTCTCCCGCTCCCAGCATTCCTTGGTTGCCCATAGTTCTCTGTCTATGGGTCAGGATATTTGATATCTTGAACATTGGATGATATACTTTGATATCTGTAAAATTAATGGATGTTGGTCTCAGTATCCCCCTTTGATCCTTCCTTTATTCCTTAAGATTTCAAAACTGTATAAAGAGGGCTGTTAGGATGGCTTGGCTGGTAAAGGTGCCTGCTTTATAGCTTGATGATCTGAGTTCGTTCCTCAGGACCCCTATGGTGGAAGGATAGAACCAGTTCCTGCAAGTTGTCCTCAGTCCACATGCTCTGTGTGGGCCACATGAACATACATATATATACAGAATAAGTAAATGACATATCATATATATAATAGATAAAAATCATTATTTCTAAAATAATTTATTTTAACTTTAGTATAAAAATTGTTCCTCTTTCTTTAGACATCACTCGTACTTCGAAGACTGTCTCTCATGACAGACAGTCCAAGTTGGTAATTTTCCAGGAAGGAGTCTTTTTTTTTTAAATAATTGAATTTAAAATAGCTATTGTACTTCGAGCTATTGCTTAATCATTGTCAGCTATAATTTTCTTAACACATTCTTTACTCCCAGAGACAGTTTTCATTTAAGTAGAATTGTACATTTGAGTAGTGCCTTGCCAGTTATGTGCATAGTATTTCAAGCAACTGTGAGGCAGGGAAGGCAGCAACTAGAAGCATTCATTGCCTTCTCCTTGTCTTCAGAGATGAACGTGAGGCCTCGGAGACGCAGAGTGACCTCTCCTCTCATACAGCTCATTACCGACAGAGCCAGGGCTACAGTCCTACCGACAGAGCCAGGGCTAC